GTCACATTGTGCCTGGAGAAGATCATTTCAATGCAGTTTCCCAAAGAGTAACACTTGCTAGATGTTCCTTACATTAGTAGCCTCACAGCAAGGTCTTTCAGATGGTGACATGGAGAATAAGGGCACAACTGAAAGTGGAGAAGGAGATTTGGCTGGTGTGCCTTCCCCGCTAAAGCAATTATAGCAAGTTAAATCCAGTGCCAGGTAACAGTAAAGACACCAGCTTTGGAGTCAGATGGATCTGGATTCAAATGTTGGATCTGCCACTTCCTAGTGACACGACCTTGCACATGTTACTTTACCTTTCTCTGCCTGCTTCCTCACATGTCCAGTGAGGGCGATAACATGCCAACCCCAGAAGCTCAATGTGAGGATCAAGTGAGAAAATAACTGTGACATATTATCAGAGGGTTGTTAACTGTACAACCATTAAGGGATAAAGCAATACTTAGAAAACTGTATTTCCCCCTAAATTGTAAATAGCTCAATTCTTACATAATTCATGTATGGTTAAGTCTAGATATGGGCTTTTTAGCTCTGGTGACAGTTTGAAACAAAATGGGATCTTTCTTCCATCTTCAGAGTTACAGGAAAAGGAGGACATATAAATAGACTACAGAAAAAGAATCTGGCTTTCTTGGAGAATAATCTTCCATGCAGTACTTTTTTTTAATTAATGATAATAATGTATGTATACAGCCTTTTTAGCTCTGGTGACAGTTTGAAACAAAATGGGATCTTTCTTCCATCTTCAGAGTTACAAGAAAAGGAGGACATATAAATAGACTACAGAAATTAATCTGGCTTTCTTGGCGAATAATCTTCCATGCAGTACTTTTTTTTAATTAATGATAATAATGTATGTATACAGCAAAAAAAAAATAGACAAAGGGATATGTATTTAAGAGTAAGTTTTCTTCTCATGCTAACTCCCTTTAATAACTTCACTTCCTCCACCTTCCCCAGAGATAGCAACTCTTTACAGTTCCCTCTTATCCTTCCAGAAGTTCCTGTGCCTATGTGCAAGAAAGGTTATTCTCCACATCTGTTACATAGGAAGGGACTCTACCCTCACATAGCCTGTGTTATAGTGGCATCGACAGTCAATACACATAAAACTAAACAGGAGACCACTCAACCATTCAGAGGGCTAGGACAGTAGTCACGATGACAGGTGATGGGTTGGGATTAGAATGAGCAAGGTAAGAAGGGGTGAAATTAGGGCAATGTTTTAAAATCCTATGGATTAGATGTAGAGTGTAAAGACTGTATCCTAGTTTATATTTGTTGTACAAGCCTAGTAAGGAAAAAATTTTAAAAATACTTTCTCCTACTATACTCTTACTCAACACAGAACACTTCTGTGACCAAATGTGTGGGTTTTTTCTCACACCAAATAATTCTCTGATAGCAGCTGAGTATTCTACAGTCTAACTCAATTCTGACACTAACTGTCTACCTGGGATAGCATCAGATCCCACAGGTTAAGGGCTCAGTCCCACAAGATTTCCCCCACTGCAGACGCCAATCACAAGTAAAGGTTGTTTACCTGTGCTTCTGACTGACAGGCTATAAATTGGAGGTTCCCTTGACTTCTCCTCGTGTTCGATTATTTGCTAGAGGGGCTTCCAGAACTTAGGGAAACACTGTACTTACATTTATCCATTTGCTATAAAAGATTCAACTCAGGAACACCCAGATAGAAAGACAGAAGAGATGCACACAGGGCAAGGTATTGGGGAAAAGGTGCAGAGTTTTCGTTCTCTCTCTGGGCATGCCAACCCCAACATGTTTAGTAACCCAGAAGTACTCTGAACCTTGTCTTTTTAAGGTTTTATGGAGGCTTCTTTATGTAGGAATGATTGATTACATCACTGGCCATTAGTGATTAACTCAACTTTCAGCCTCTCTCCCCTCCCAAAATTTGAGATGGGAGTGGGAGGATCTGAAAATTCCAACCCTCTAATCACATGATTGGTTCCCCATGTGCAACCAGTCCCCATCCTTAGGGCTTTCCAAAAGTCACCTCATTAACATTACTCCAGTGTGGTTGAAAGGGACTTGTGAATAACAGAAGACTGTTCTTTCACCATTATCACTCCCAACACTTAGGAAATTGCAAGGGTTTTAGGAGCTTTAGCCAGGAACTGGAAGTGAAGATCAAAATAAATATTTCTAGTTACATATCACAGTATCACACAGTCTAATCATTAATACCTCCCTAAAGTTTACTCTCAAAATTGTTCCAGATTGGATGATAAGTCATACTGTTACCAAATGTGTGAGGAAAGGAGAGGACCTAAGGATGCAATTAGATCATCTCTCAGGGCCTTTACTGAAATAGGAAAGACAGAAGAAGGGATCGGAGGTGCTTGGGGAATCAAGAATTTGGGTTTGGTGATGTTAAATTTAGAAGCCTTTTGAATACTGAAGCAGGAAGGTATTTCACTACGCAAGTTTGGAGCTCAGTAGAGGAGACAGAGCTGGACATAGGACTATGGGTGTCGTAAGCGTGTAGAGTGTATAGATGCCATTCCAATCATTGGGACAGAATGAGCTCACCCAGAGGATGGGTGTCCCAGGACACAAGAGGTCTGAAGCCTGAGCCTGGGATAAGCTAATGTGGCCTCACTCCCTCCCCAGTGTCTCTCCCTGGATCATATCATTTTATGTATGTTTTATGTTCTTCTCAGTCCTTATTACTACCTGAAACTTTTCTCTCCTTGCCTCTGCCTTGCCTTCGCACTGCATGCAAGCACTCTGGGGGAGGTGAAAGAGGGAGGCCAAGCACAGCCTCACACTCCTGGATCCAGGGCCGCCCTGTTTGGGGTTAACTCCTCTGCAGCCACCTTCTCCACTCCTGATGCTTAGCTTTCATAGAGCCCATCATCTTTTCCTGAGTCCAGCCACCTCAGAGACCTTGGTCTGTCAGATGGCCTGTGTGTGTCTGAGTGGAGTGATGGATTATTTCAGGATCTTTGCACAGAGCTCAAGGAGGTTGATGGACTCCTGTTTCCCATTCCTGAACAAGCCCTGTGACACTTAAGAGCCTGTGGGAGCATCTCAGATAGGTTTGGAAGCAGGTCTTCCCACAGCACACACAGAACCTTTAGGAAGCCAATTTCTAAATGTCACATTCCAGCCCAATGGAATCTTCTCTCTGACCAAGCTCAGAATACACTGTTACATAATCAGACATAAACGTGACACTCTCAGGCAGCTAGAAGGTCTAGAATGCTGTCAAGGTTGGGGTTGCTGGAGCTGAGATCACTTAAAAGTGAGTAGAATTTATATCTAACTTTGGTTTTGGTGCAAAGTAGAATCAGAGTCTTAGGATAAGATCATTAGGCAAGAGTATAATCCAGTATACTAAGTACATAGGAGCATGTGGCATTAGGACCTGATTTGAATCATAAAGATGGGAACAGAGGTCAAGTAAGATGGAGCAAAGTAGGCCAGGTAAGGAGGGGAAGCTGAGGGAATGGTGCTTAGGTGAAGGAAGCTTTTTCCATCACCCTTTCACCTGTTAAAGGAGTAGGCAGCTGGAGAGGCTCCAACATGGTGTGGGAAGGAGAAGGCACAAGCCACGCCCACTCTTCAGAGGAGGAAAGGCCCCATGATGATTAGGAAAAACATTTTGCTGGCCATTTCACACATGTCACAGTGACTTTTAAATAACATAACAGACCTCTCTTTCTTTCGTCACAAGCCTTGATGATGCCCCTGGATGAGTACTTTAAGGGAAATAGCCCGTTGGTGCCACCAGTGTGGACTTCTGCACTGCATAGCCAACCACCTTTCAGTCAACCCTGGGAAACAGCAGTCATAAGAATTGGGAGGCAAAAGGCACTGTATATTATTCTACTCCTGTATTTGAGAAAGCTGACTGCCTGCTCCCACAATCATAGTTTTTAGAACTTAAAGGGGCATTCAATATAACGAATTTGAGAGAAATGTTCAGCTAGTGATTTTTTTCAAAGGCACACACACAGCCAGGTTGGCGATCTGAAGTCAAAGTGGTTTCCACCAGATCAAGCCACCTCAGCAGCATCGAAGTACAGAAGAGACATAACCTATCGTGAAGACCACCAGTCCCTACCTCAGTCATAGCAGTAAAAGTAATTCCTGACCATTGAGCATTGAATGCTGGCCTTTTCTGGCTTTAGAAGTAAGGGTCGATTGTTAAGTCCTTCCTAGCATCCAGTTTAAGATTCCCCACTGCAGGGTGCTTCACAGAGGATGCTAAAGGTTCATCTCCATTCCACGCATCTTATGACCTACCAACTAGTGACCTCTTCCTGAACATTGAGGTGGGAGACCAGATTCATGCCAGACTCCCTGATCCCGAAGACCAGTGTGTTCAGTGGACAGTTTTCCCCTCCCCACCAGGAGGTTATGGAGACATGTGCCCCTCACTCCCCACATATACCACTTCTGCTGTCATTCACTAATTCTATCCTGCTTATGAAAACCCTACGGGGTGGCAAAGTGAGAGAGCATTCCTGCCGTGGTCCAGGCAGGTAAGCCTGTCATCTTGCGATGTTCTGGTATGTTGTCTCACTGTCTGCTAGGACATCCCCTCTCAGACACAAAGACTCGGCTGTGTCCTGAAAACCACATGAATTCCAAAAGATGGCAGCTATTTCAAATATGGGCAGATCAGATCAACAAAATAGAGTTCATGTTTAGTTTTCATGAACAATATTGCCTTTGAAGAATTTAAGGAAATCAGACCTGTTTTGATTTTTATGTGAGGCCTGGGAATGACATTCAACAAAGTCTTATCGAAAGATTTACCTCTCCCTGAGAACACCTTTTTCTCTTATTTGTATGTACATGGCCCATGTCCCTTTAATTTCTTTTGCACATATTGTGATTCAAGCTATGTTGGAACAAGAGAAGTAATGGAATTTAAAACCAACTTGCACTTCACAGGAGAAGAGAAAGGAGTATGCTGAGTGTCAGCCACCAAGGAAGAGTCTAGGCAGAGATGCTTCTGTCTCCTAAAGAATGAGAACTAAAATTATCCCTGAAAATGCTCTAGAAGAAAGGGCAAAGCCCACAGGGGGACAGAAAGACAAAAGTGCATGTTGTATCCGTGAAGTATTCAGTGAGGTAATTAGCCCTTGATTTGCTTTTTTTTTTTTTTTTTAGCTAATTCAAGTTTCAAAGCATTTTTGTCTCCCTGTTCTTTTCTGCATGGATGAAAATCATGAGCTGGTATAGCTGGAAACGACATTACTTTGCATACCTTTTTTACTAACAAGGGGAACTGAGGCCCAGAATGTTTAAATGATTCAGCCAAAGTCACACAGTTAGTTGGTGACATAACTAGGACTGGATCTTCCAACTTCCAAGCCATTGCCTTCCCCTCTACAACACTGTTGACAAAAAATAACCCTGATGTTTTTACCTCACGTCATGTGTGGCTACCAGAGTAGTCTTAATTCTTTCATCTATGTTTCTAGATTCGTGAAATAGTGACCTACATCATGGAAATTGATGGACTGGCTGTGCAATGAGTTGTGTTGTATCAGCCAGGCCTGGAAGGATCATTATTATGTATTAGAGCATGGGACGGAAGTCATCTGAGTCACCCATGGCTACATGAGGTTCCAGAGGAGGGGCCCAACTCTGTTTGACAGTGTTGTCCCTTCCCCTAGAACATAGAACACTTTGTGAGTTTTCCACTTGATGGTGATAATAGTGAACATGATTATTACAAAAACAGCTGTTAAGAAAAAGGGGAAAATATGATACACAGTTGTCCAAGCAAATGAGCTAGGAAGGACATAAACTCAAGTTTTAATCCTGTGTTTTGGCATCCTCATGTTCTTAGTTGTTTTTTTATCTCCTTCACTGCATGTCTGTTTATAACACAGAGGAGAGGAATATTTTTCTCGGTTTCATAAATATTTAGAACCACTAATTTATGTGTCTTGGGTGGAATTGGGGTCTGTGCTTGTTTTACTATCCTTGTTGCCATTTATATAGGAATTTATTCTTTTTATGCAAGGTTTTGTACTTATTTCCCATAAGGCAGTTTATGTTCACTATTGTCAAGAAACCAATAATCTTGGTAAATGTTATCTTATACCTGTTCAGATCAAATTGATGAATAAATCTAATACCAAGACAGCCTAACTCCTGACAATGATAGTAAAAAGCATGATTTGGATCTGGTTGGGTTGGAGAAAATCCACAGAAGTAGCCTGGAGAAGAAAGTGGAATCCCCACGTCAAACAAAGGCTGACACAAACCTGAGGTGATCCCTCAATCAACCTGACGGGGTTCCTAAGTCTTCCATTAGCATCATTTCACTCTGCATTTCTGAGAATAACAAAGGAAAGAGTCTGTTTTGCAATAAGCTTGAGGTTCCCAATCCCTAGGTCGTCTCTACAGGCTATGTGCAAGACTCAGTTTGAGCAGGGCCTATAGTTTTCCTTCCCCTTTATACTTGGTGCAGTTGAAAATCCAAAGACAGAAGAGACCAGCTGCAAAAGCAACAACTGCTTTATTGTTTTTTAATTTTATTTATTTATTTATTTTTAATTGAAACATAAGTGATCGTATGTATCGGGGGGTATAGCCTTGAATATCAATGCCTGTGTGCAATACGTGATCCTCGGATCAGGACGATTGCTATATTTAGCCCTTTACCAGTTTCTTCCTAACCCCCTTCTGCCTCCTGGTTTCCCACCTCTGGTGGCCTCAGTTCCATTCTCTCCTTTTGGAAGTTCAGCCAATTATTGTGATTGCTGTATCTTTCTTTTTTTTAACTTCCCCTTATGAGTAAGGACATATGGTTATTTCTCTTTCTATGCCTAGCTTATTTCACGTAATATAATTTTCTCTAAGTTCATCTGTTGCTGTGAATGGCAGAATTTCATTCTTTTTTGTGGCAGAGTAGTATTCTGTTATCTAAATATACCACATTTTCCTTTCCAGTTGCCCAAAGATGGACATTTAGGTTGGTTCCAACTCTTGGCTATTGTAAATAGAGCTGCGATAAACATGGTAGTGCACATATCCATTCAACATGATGATTTCCATTTCTCTGGGTAAATACCCAGTAGTGAGATTGCAGGATCATATGGCAGTTCTATCTGTAGGTGTTTGAGAAACCCCCATACTATTTTCCATAATGGCTGCACTAATTTACAGTCCCCCAGCAGTGTAGGAGGGTTCCCCTCTCTCCACATCCCCACCAGCATTTGTTGTTCTCTCTTTTTTATAATGGCCAGTCTAATTGGGGTGAGATGATATCTCAGTGTGGTTTTGATTTGCATTTCCCTGATGCTTAGTGATGTTGAGCCTTTTTTCATGTGTCTGTTGGCCATTTGTCTATCTTGCATTGAGAAATGCCTATTTAGCTCCTTTGCCCTCAAAAGAGGAATATGTATACTATCTATCAATAACATGGAATGAAGCTTGATTCAAGGAACTACACAGGGAAGGGAAAGGGAAGAGAGTACGAGTGTACCATTTTTCAGAATGATTAAATAGGTCTTCTACCTTTGTCAATCATTTGATTTCTCAGGGCTTTCAGGGAGGAAGAACTCATAGACTTGATACTGAAAAGGACTTTATTATATTTTCTTTTGGATATAAATAATCTACGACCATTGTTTGAAAATAATTTTTGCTATTTAATTACTCTGCTCAGCCTTTGAAAATAAAAAAAGATTTAAGTAATTGAATTGGGATACAATACCAGTTAAACACAATTGCAAAAATATCTGAGCCGTTTACTTAGAAAACAATCAACATTTATTTGGGGTCCAGATTTCTTAACCTAAATATAACATTCTACAGGTTTGTGGCATTACTCCCAGTAACTAGCAGCCCTTTCTTCATGCCTTTCTGTCCTTGCCCCAGACTTCTTCAATGAAGAGCAGTTGTTGGTTTAGACTGCCTGGTTTTGCCAAGGCTAGGACCACAACTTTGCTTATGTTATGACATGTATCACTTATAGTTTGTCCATAAGTTTTCCCATTAACTGGTTATTTCTTAAGTTGTTTTACATGCTTAAAAAAAATCAATTGGCATAAGATTTTACTCACTCATCTGTCATTATGGAGATTCTACCAGATTATCAGCTACAGAGGACAGGAATTTGTGTGTGTGTTTGTCACTACCATTTTTCCAAAGTTCCTGCCCTCATGAAGCTTGAATGAGGGAAAGGTAACATGGATTGATCATAAAAACAAATATCAGTGACAGTGCTATAAATCAGAGGTACAAAGTGCTGTGAGGGTCTAGATTAGAGGGATCTTGCTGTGAGGCATCTAGGAAGGACTCCCTGAAGAGGTGGCTTGAGTTGAGACCAAAGGATGATTAGGTGATAACTGGAGGAAGAGGAGAGGAAAGTTCCATCATGTTAGTTTCATGTCAGTTATTTTCTTTCCTTATCACTCTCATGTTTCCGATTGGTATTTATTATTACAGATTCTTCCTATTTTTTCCTGCTAGCTTAGTTTGCTAGCTACTCATGGACTTCTGCATAAATGTGAAGTACATATAGGTCTCCTTTTGGGAAACAGCCAAAACTTACCCTGTTTAACATGCTAGTATTATTTTAGAAGCAAAGGATGAAATATCAAAGAGAAAAATAAGTTAACGAGGAGAGCATCTCCTTTTCTACTTATTTACTGTAACTGCTGTTTGCTTAGAGAAGTGCCACATGATAAGTACTTTGTATATTTGGATTGGTTGGCCAACAAGTTGGTTGGCTGGATTCCCCATTGGCTGATTAGCTGTCTAGTGAGATGCTGGTTGGTTGATTGGGTGGTTGTTTGGTGAAAAAAGATGAGGGTGGTAGCTTTGTCTTTAAAGTCAGACTTAATTTTATTAAATTTCTGACCGATCTTTCAGCAACTTTGTAATATTGAACAATTTACTTAAGCTCTGTAAGTCTCAGTTTATTCTATAAAATAGTACCTTTCTCATAGGGTTATTGTAAGGGTAAAGAAGATATTGAATATAAAGCTTAGCATGGTACCTAGGATGTATTAGCTGTTCACTAGTATATGTTCACTGTTTTAGAGACAAAAAAGAAGCTTGAGTGTTTTTCCAAAAGGAACTAAATTAGTGCAAGTAAATGATTTGTGTTTAAATGTTAACCCTTTTAATCTTAGTCCTTCAAATAAGTTTCACTGCTGCAAATACACATCTGTTGCAGACCAGAAGTACACATACCTAAGACGGAGCTAAAATGAGTAGAAAATTCACAAACACAAAAACAAATCATTTTGTTCCTTGACATATTAAAATTTAATTCTCCCCCTGCCCTCTCCCTTCCACTCTTTCTCATTACCCTCTCATTGCTTTGTTGCAGGGCTCATTAGGATAGTAATTTTCTCTATCAAAACAAAAAAAAGGAGGTGGGAGGCATGATATATTATATCTTAACGTGGGTGATAGTGGTTTACCCAGGTGTTTGCTTTATAATTATTTGCTAAACTGAACATTATGTTTTATGTATTTTTCTATATGCACACTCACACTTGCAAATATGAGGGTACCTCAAAAAGTTCATGGAAATATTAGTGTTATCTTTTAATTTTATTTTTCCACAAACTTTTTGAAGTACCCTGGTACATAAAGAAGGTGAATGAAAGAATGTGATAAAATAGGACAGAACAGACCAAATATAAACCTAGTTTAGGTCTATATAAGCAAATTGAAAGGAATATGCAAGCAGTAAAGCCTGATTGTAAAAAAGAGATGAGTTTATTGGAACTACTTCAGATTGGCTATCTCCATGTCAAATTGAGTGGCTAGAGTGACAAATTACTAAACTCCTTTTGTTGTTGTTGTTGTTGTTAGTCTATGAAGATGTAACCTGAACTCGAGTTAGTATAGAGCAGGATCTATATCATATGCCACTTGCTTAACACCAGGCATGAGACACTTCTCTCTGTGACAAAGTGCTTTTATTGACTGCAAAGCCCCTTTGCACAAATACCACTGTCCTATCTCTTCCAGCCATCGTCACTAACATTCATGCCACATGTGTATGATTTCAGAGATAGATGCCCTGCTTTATTAAATGCCATCAAAAACGAAGTCAGAAATTACACATCTTTATTACTAACAAGTAGCTTTTGTTTTTTCAGCGCCGATTGGGAGATGCAGCAAAGAAAGCCATCAGCAAGCTCCAGGTCAGGACCATCAAGAAGGGTGACAAGGTAACAGCCTCTTTTCTTTTTGGTGAGGTGCTATTCAAAGAACTTCCTAACTTTTCTGACAGCCAGGGTGGAAGAGAGAAAAGGGTGGGAAAGGAAAATACATGCTAACAGTTGTCCTGTGAGCATCTGTTATATTTTTCTTTATTAAATATAATTTAAGGCAGTTTATAAAATGTATGCAACAAAATAGCTAGATAAAAAATATAAGAAATTCGTAAGTGTAAAAAAAAAATAGATGAAGCTGGGATGAAATTAATACACAAATACACTACCTGATGTGGGCCCAAAATTTAAGTTGAGGCTTTCTAGCAGCCAGTACAAAGAAGGAAGCAATATTCAATATTCAAACGATATTTAATTACCTTATTCCAGGGGGGCCACAAGATAAAAACAAAATGGTTGTGCCTGGTATCATAACTTAAGAAAATTTTTCCATGAATCCTTGCAAGGAAGGCAACATTATGTGCTAAGCCATGTTCTCCACTTAGGTTTACAGTACAAATGCAGGAAGTATGTTCGTTCCCTTTGAAATCTAGTATTCATATAGCCAAAGTCATTGCAACAACTTCCCTCACTGTAGAATGGTGGCATAAAGCCAAAAGCAATGGTATATCTTTAGGAGGGACAACAAAGCAATACAGTCCAGGCCTGTAGGGCTCTAAAGTTCTTCCATCCCCCAGGAGAAGTTTCAGAGCAATGGATTACAAGACATGGGTTTGGGGCTTCTTGGGGCATTCACAACTCCACATGTATACTAGGTGTTGTCTCCAGTCTGAATAAGTGATTTGTCTCACAAACTATGTGCTATTATTTTGCAACTATATAAAAATGCTTTGGGCTTAATAAGATAAAATTCATTTTAAAGCATTATTAAATTTAAAGTATATTTTGATCATTGCTTTTTCCCCCCTCAAGCAGAGAATAATAAAAGTATAAGGACTATTATGTAATATATCATGAGGTAATAAAAGAGATTTATATGCTTGATAAAAATTGGAACCATAATTTTGTTTATATTTATTTTTGTTTTATTTACCAGATTCTAGGAGAATGAATAGATTAAATATCATTCAGATAGTTCTCCATAAATATTATTTCTCATCTTTGAGATTTTGATATGTCACCTCTAGTTACAATTAATAGCATTATTAGCAAATGTTCATTAGCAAATGGTTTTCCTCTCAAAAGCATTTACAGTGGAACCTAGGAACGATAAGTAGAAGTTGGAAGGAAGGGAAACTAAGCCAATAGACGGTAAATTATTCATTAAGAACACTGGCACCAGCACTGTTGAGAGCCTTACTCCAGGCAAGCTCTCCTTTGGTTTGTTGTTTGGGTATTTACACAGGAGTGGAAGCTAAGAAATAGGCTCATCTGTGCTTCCCCTCTTGCAGGAAACAGAGCCCGATTTTGACAACTGTGCAGTTTGTATTGAAGGGTACAAGCCCAACGACGTCGTCAGGATTTTGCCCTGCCGGTGAGTCACTGGGCTGCCTGCTTTGGGGTCATGTGTGGGGAGTGCCTGCTGGGTCCCACTGGCACAGACCTAGCCCTGCAGGGTCAGTCTACCTGGACGTTTCCATGTTTACATTGCAACCAACCAAAATGCTGCTTCCTTTTGTATAACCTTTGTCCTCGAAAATACTTTATCTCATGAAATTATAAATATATTTCTGATCCCCTTTGCATCAGAGGGACTATACTGCTTTGAACTAGAACCTCATGATACAGAGTTTGATGATGTGGCTCCAAGTGCAAGTGTTCCAGAGCAGCAGATCTGTGATGTTCAGAATTAATTATGGCTTTTATGAGTGCTATTTTAATTAAAATAACAAACATGAAGATCTCAGCAATCAGAATATGGTCAAGAGTAAGTAGGAAGCCAAAGGCAGATTCCATTTCCTTTTATTTTTAACTAACTAACAGTGTCACAGATTACCCAAAAATTCTGGAATCTAAGGGAGGATGTCAGCATGTATAGTTGGAGAAAACCCTGTGTTGAATCTCATATAACCCTACTCCATCTCCCTAATTGAAATGCACTGTTATGGTGTCTGAATTTAATTGTTAAATAAATGTAAATAGTTTAATAACATAAACTATTTTAAAGTTGCATAAAAGCTGTCTGCTTAACTGAAACCCCTTTTCAGTGCTTTTGCATCTGTTCAAGTGTCCTAAAAATAAAAATGAAATTATGCCTTTACGAAAGATTCTTCACTTAGAAAGACTGGCTTTAAAAATTTTTAGAGAGTTTAGAAGTAATTAAAGTAGAAAAAAATATACCACAAAGATATAAAACAATTCATTTGTTCATAAAACAATGCAAATTTAAGAGCTATTTGTTATATATATAAAAGAAACAAAATATGCCTTTAGAGGGTTAGTTTAATAATCCTAAAATGACAAAGAGCTGACAAAAAAGGACAGGATACTCAAATAAATGCAGAAGCTCCCAAGGGGAATGGCTCTTAGTTGAAATGCTCATAGGCAAATTGATCATTAGGAAAACAGGCTTTAGGAAAGTACACCCTGGTGGCCCAAGCCATAGCCTCAAGTGTAATTCAGTTTCCCTTGGTTTATAGATGCCTGACTACCTCCAAGACAAAATCATAAATCGAGACACATGAAGATTTGGTAGCTTTGTTCATATGAGGATACTATACATAAATTATTTCTAGACATTATACTTCGTGTTTTCTCAGTGACTTCTAGAAACACTGGCAAAGAGTGGCATATGTGAACTACATAGAGCCTCTCAGAGTAGCATCTTTCATCTCTGCAGTATTTTATTAAGGGTTTTGTAAAGCCTCAAAGTTATAAGCAAGTAAAGTGCTTTCCTTTTGTTTTCTACCTGGAGATTGTTTAGAGCCCTATGAGGGTACTACTGATAAAAAATATCAAAAACTAAAGTTAAATAGCTACTTTTTCCTGAGAATCCAAAGAACTTCACAAGTGTAATTAAGAAAATCGGTTTTAAAAAATTATATATATATAGCATAACATTAGCTCTATAATTCATATGCCATAAAATAATTTATTCATTTAAGGCTCTGTTATGAATAAATTTTATGATACTACATATAATTGTTGGAGACTACATAATATCTAAGCCATAGATACACATTTTAATTTTTTATGTCCCTGTTCTGGAACATTTGGCTAATTTCAATTTTTAATTATGACAATTTACTTTGCTTTAACAGAATTTAGATTTTCATGATATATTATTCCAGATCTCCTTTTACAGTATAATTTTTGGAAATATTAATCACGAAAAAAAATAGCATTTTATTTTTTTATTTTTATTTATTTATTTATTTTTTCATAAAGATGACCGATAAGGGGATCACAACACTTGGCTTGGTGTTGTCAGCACCAGGCTCAGCCAGTGAGCCAACTGGCCATCCCTATGTAGGATCCAAACCTGTGGCCTTGATGTTATCAGCACCATACTCTCCTGAGTGAGCCACAGGCCAGCCCCCAAAAATAGCATTTTAAATTTAAAAAATGTTTTTAATTAAAAAAAAATATTTACCTCAAAAAATGAAAAGTAATTTTATTTACACCAGCTCTTGCCCTAGGCCAGTTCAGTTTGCCTTCAGGCTACTCCTTTTTTACGTGATTATTTGGTTCTCAGCTCATTCCTTAATTCTTTTTGCTTCAAGCAAAATAACAAAATACATCGAGCATTACAAAACACAGGTTATAGTTAATTATTGTTTGACATTATACTAAATCATGCTTATCTGCTCTTTGAATAGCTCATACGTTTTTTCCATGCTGATTTAAAAATCAAGATATTTTTATGCCTGTGGTTGATTTCTGCCAGACAGTTTGCACTAATGGATGTTATCAAACAAATACACTGGTATTTGCTTTTTGCTACATAATTTCCTCTGGGGTATTATTAAGCCTTTGCTCCTATGAACTTCATAGACTCTCTTTCCCATTATTTCCGGGATGATTCATCCACAGATTCATTGCATCTTTTTGGAGTAAAATCTGTTTCAACAGATGTTCCAGTTTATCATCCCCTGTCTCTCATACTCTTTCCTGTAGCCTCATAACTCTTGACATACTGGGTGCATCTCTTCCCTATTGTTCCCATTTAGGATGACTATCCAAATCACCCAGGTACACTCTTATACCACAACTTTGTCAAAATCATTCTATTGATTGTCTCTTTCTGAGACCTCTACACAGATGATGGTGAATTAGTAAATGCCTTCCCCTCTTTATTTGTAGCCATGGCGATTATTAAGGTTAAGTGGTACACATACACACCTCCCATTTCTTCCCTCTCATTCTTTCTTCCTTCGGTCCTTCTCTAATACGTGAGGGTGAGGCCCCCCTGGGGTGGGCCTGGACATGTGTCCATAGTGTCAGGGACAGACCCACAGCTGCACGCAAAGCACTTCAGCCTCAGACACGTCTAACTTCTGTGGTTTGGAATACATGCTAATATACCACTAAGTCATCTTCCAAGAAACTCTGGTTTTGCTACATCATGCATATGCCAAAGTATGCATTACGCTTTATTTTAGGGCTGGTTTTTGTGAGACTAGAGTTAGTATTTGAAGTTATGATTTTTAGCCACAGAAGGTGTTTTGTTAAAGCATTTTATTGAAGTATTATTGTCTTCCCTTGTCCAGAGAATAAGTTGGGCTTTCTGATTCTTCCATGGCTTTTATCTTATACTGTCCCAACTGCTTTTCAATGAATATTCATTTCAGTTTACCCAATTTCAAACATACAGTGTCTCAAAAAGAACATGAATTCTTTGGGCAGGCCAGAAATCCTTGTTTACCATCTTTTAAAAACAAAACAATATATGCATTCTTTCCCTATATGCTCATAAAATCCTTTCCTAATTTATCACTATACTATTACCATTAATTTGAGAGGATATTGGTTTCTACTACTGTCTTTCCCTTTGATTTTACAAAGTCTCCTCCACAATTGAGGAAAAATTTTTAAGCTGCCTAGTAACAAGCAGACTCTCATGATAAACTTTTTAGTAATTAAAAGCTTCATTTGGAACAACAAACATTTTGTAGCAACTGTGTGGCAGGAATAGTGGGAAGTACCAGAGGTGAAAAGGTAAATGGCATGATCCATGCTCTGAAGGAAATAGAGCACTTCAGTAAGTTCGTGGAAAAATGGAATTAAAAGATAATGTGCATCTTTCCATGAACTTTTTAAAGACCTCTCATAGTCTAGTGGGAGAGATAAGAATGGAAAAAAGTAATCAGGATACAGACTGTTATGTGCAACAGCAATAACAAAATATGCTTAAAAATTTGGAGGAACTAGTACCAGGCACAAGGAAGTTAAGAAAGATTCCACAGAAAAAGTAATGTCTTGATATTTTCTAACAATGGTTTGTTTTGTCCATTACATCCTAATTACAGAAAATTTGTAAAATGGATAAAATATTTAAGTATCTGTCTAACTCATACAGGTATCTACTGCTAACATTTTTATGTATTTCCTGTGCCTATTTTTGCAAGTTTGAGATGCTACCGTCAACATCATTTAATATACTGCTCTTTCTACTTACCATTGTAAGAATTTGCTAGAAATAGTACTAGATTATTTGTGGCTTGTTTTGACCTTCCTTTGGCCTCTAGTGCTATAGGCAGAGGCTGATCAAGCTCCAAATGGCGTAAACCAAAGGGATGTTGTTGCTTGGATAGAACTCGCTCTTCAAGGGTCAGGGTCTTTTCATGGCCCCGTCAGAATTTTCCACTGAGGTAAAACAGGTAAAACAGGAATGTGTCCTGGCCGCATTTAGTTTATTTCTTAATAACCCTTCAATGAGCTGTTCACATTTCACTATCCCACCCCACTAAAGAAGACATAGAAAAGCAGTCACTCATATATCAATGCTATAGTTTGGTTAAGTAGCCTGAAGAGGCTGCATGTCCTGCTGACTTCTTATTGTCAGAGTCGGCTTACAGATAAAATCCTTTAAAACCTCAACTTTGGTAGATGCTCCCCAACTTTTGTTCATGAACAAATGATTTCCTGTGGTTACATTTTGTAAATAGTGTCTCCTGCAGGATACTCTAGGAAGCAGCCTTTAATGAAGTCCTTTTATTTGGGGGCAGGGGAGGTGGTTGAATAAAGGAAGCAAGTGGGAACCTGAAATAATTCTAGTCGGAGAGTACTGCACTCCTGCTGTTTAACATTGGAATGCTGAAGCAGATTCCAAACCACATTTAAAGGAGAGCAGCTGCCATGACTGCCCTGAGCAGCCTCGGGGCGGGGCAGCAGCGGTTCTGCAGGCCTGAGGTTTGTGGGTCCCTCCCTCTTCACAACAGCATGTCTGTTTCACCTGAGCAAGCTTATCTGTTAGATCAGATAATTCTGGAGTTGTGTTGGAAGTTGTTTTGTTTTGTTTTGGGGGGGGTAAAATACATATAACATAAAATTTATATATAAACCTTTATAACCATTTTGACATGTACAGTTCAG